GGGGGGGGGGCGAAGCGGCCAGCCTCACGCCGTTCGGCGCCGCAGGTGATCCGCGCCGCCATCCCCGTGCTGGTGGCGCTGATTGCAATCTGCGTCGAGTCGAAGGTGCCGAGCATCACGGGCGGAGGAGGCCTGCCTGGCATCTCTCCCCATCCCTCCCCATCTCTCCCCATGTCGAAAGGTGCCGAGCAAGACGGAGGTTGCCTGCCTGGCGGTCATCTCGATCGGCGTCATGCTGGCCGTGTGGGAGGAGTCGAAGAACGCCGTGCTCGGCATGCGCGCCTAGAAGCTGCATAGACACGCATTCAGCTGTATTTCTCAGCTGTTTGTACTCGTAGCCCCCGAATCACGCGATGACATAGCGTGTTCACACCCTGACGTTTGCCTGTTCGTGCGGTAGGCATAGTGCTGACGGTGGAGAAGGGAGGCTGTCCCGACGGCGTGCTGTGAACGGCGTCTCTTCACGGCTGCGTGCTGTGAACAGGTGGTCTCGAGCGTGATGCAGTCGATCCAGATGTCGGTGACGGGGAGGCTGATGAGCGTAGAGGCGGAAGACGGGCTCTTGTACTCCTAGTAGCGATCGAGAGGACGCGTGTTCAACTGTATTCGGCCGTATTCAGCCGTGTTCACTGTAGTCGCCTCCCTCGTATTCACGCGGTGCCCTGAAGACACTGCACAACACCGTATTCCCGTGCACAATACCGCATTCCCGCCCTGAGGCTGGTCTCTTCAGCACGTAGGCTTATGAGCGGCAAGAGCGGCAAGCTCAACTCGTTCCAGATGACCTTTTACACCGGCCCGATCGCCTTCGCCACCTTGGCGAGCGGGGGAGATCTGGGGAGATTCTGGGGAAATTCTGGGGAGATTCTGGGGAGATTCTGGGGAGATTCTGGGGAGATCTCCGTCTCTAGCCATATGCGAGGCGCTCCGCTAGAGCAGCGCGCGCGGCGCTCGAGTTGCCAAGTGGCTTGCCCGCAGATACCGTTCACCTTCATCACCCGAGCTCAACATCTCCCCACCCTCCCCATACCTCCCCAATCTCCCGCAGTTACCGTTCGCCTTCATCACCGAGTTCAACATCTTCGTCGAGAGCGTCACGAACAAGCCGATCGCGTCGCTCGGCTTCCTGCTCGGCAGCTGCTGCGTGGCGGTGGTCTACAATGTCGTCCTGTTCCAGTCGGTCGGTACGCTGTCGTCCGTCGGCACGGCCATCCTCGGCAACGTCAAAATCGTGAGGCTAATCCCCCCCCCCCCCCCCCCCCAAAAAAAAAAATTTCCCACCCCCAAAGGGAAAAAGGCCGGCGGCCTTTCGGGGAAAGGCCAACCAAAGGGTGGGTTTTTTATGTCCCCAAACAAACCCCCCCCCCCCCACCCCCGTGGCTTGAAGGTGCTCCTGCTCTTCCTCTCGTCGCTCATCCTGGGAGAGCTAGCACCGGCTGGCGCACGCAGAGCCTTCCCTGAGCCGTCTCTCACCCGTCTCCGCCCCCTCCCTCCAGGCGAGCTCGCCGGCTGGTCGGCAAACCAATTCCTCGGCTGCGTCCTCACCTTTGCCTCCGCGGGCGCCTACTCCTACATCAAGGCTACGGCGCCGAAGCCCGCGCCCGCGCCCGCGCCCGAGCCTGCGCCCGCGCCCTCACAACAGCCGCGGCTGGAGGGGCCAGGGCATGGCTATATCAAGCAGGAAGGGGTGTAGAGACGAGAGACAGAGACGGAGAGAGAGAGAGAGAGAGAGGCGGCGGTGGAGACGCTGCCGGCCGGGCGAGCGGACTGGCCGTTCGATTGCTGGCTGTCGGAAGCCGTGTTCGGACAGCAACTGGCGGCGGGTGGAACTGGACATCTTTTCTCGCTCCTTGTGTTCCTGTGGCGCGCTTGTCAGACGCATGGTTGTGGTGTTCCGGCACGCGCGAGTCATACACATAAGTGCGGCGCGCCGCAAACACCCGACGGCAAACGCGTCGCAGTGTCTCGCGCGGTGATCGATTTTCGTTACAGGGCGCGGTTCGGCTATCGCGGCACATATCATCATATCTGGGTTATGGCTAGTTCCATTTCACTGACACTGTGGCACACGCACACTTGGAGCACTTGGAGTGCAGTCGGCAACCACAGTTCGCGTTACTTGGAGCACTTGGAGTGCAGTCATTAGCCTCACATCCAGGGCCGGTGAGCTGAGAAGCGCATCCAGCGGGCCGGATGATCGGGATCGGGTTGCGGGCAAGAGAGCCCTAGCCCCGGGGGTGCGCGTTCGCAGGGCAAGGGCCTTAAAGTAAACACGGGTCTCCGAGGGTTGGTTCTGCGCTTTGGGTGTCCCCTAGCGGCGGAACGCCCCCTCTACTCGGAGCTAGTAAACACCAGACACTAGACACGAGCATGACGTACACTCTCACCCGACATCGCCACTCAGGGCTTCTCCGCCCGATCTCCCCGCCCCCCATCCGAGGGGGCTCCCCTCTCCTCCCGGTCCTCCCTCCTGTTCGATTTCCGATGGTCCGGTGTCGGCTGCGGAGCCCGCCTTCCCCTTTTATGCTTCTTCGACCGCGGCCTCGCCGCCGTCTCGTCTTCGGGGGCTATTCTTGTTGCCTCCGCCTCCGGCGATCCCGTGCCCGACTCCTCGGGTGAGGGCGGCGGCATTCGATCGCCACGCCGCCCCTCCCCGGGAGGTGGGGCCAGCTCTCTTCGGTCGAGGACTCGCGCCCGCGCCCGCGGTCTCTCTATCGTCCTCGGCTCGTCCGTCCGTCCCGACTCTACTCGCAGAGGCCGCGTCAGCTCGTCTCTCGCCTCCTCCGACAGCTGACCCCAGGTCCCCCCCGGGGCCCCCCGGTCTCGGCCCTCCGGTTCGCCGGCGGGTTCGTTATCGTGTTGCGGCAACTCCCCCCTCCCATCTCCTCCTCCCGGGTACACCAGCCTCCGGCGGGGCGGTTCCGGATCCCCTAGGTTATTCCGAGCGGGTCCATACGGTGGTGGCCCCGCCGGCGGCGGGGGTGGAGGCGGTGGCAGGGGCGGCGGGTATGGTGGCGGCCCTTGCGGTCCAAACGCCTGGTGTGGAGCCGCTGGGGCTGCCCCACGACCCTGCAGCCGTCCCAGTGGTGGGGGCGGAAGTGGCAGTGTGGGTGGCGGAAACGATGGCAGCACTGGCGGCCGCACCGCTTGGTGTAAAACCTCAGGGGCAGCTCCTCGACCCAGCGGTCGCTCCAGCGGCAGGGGCGGAGGCGGCGGTGGTGGGGGCGGGCCTGGTGGCGGTACCGGCCGTCGCAACTCCTGAGGCGGGGCCTCGGAGGCGGCCCCCTGCCCCTGCGGTCGTTCTAGCCGGGGTTCCACGCGCCGGCCGTCCACCCCGCTCGTGGACGGCGCCCGGGGCGTGGCCGGGGAGGGTGGCGTGGCGCTGCCGGTCCTCGGAGGGGTGGTAGGCTCGGGCGGTGACGGCGGTGCTGACGGCGGCGGCAGCGTGTCGCCCGCCGGCCGCGAGAGGGGGCGACCCCCGAGGGGCTCCTCCGCCCCTCCGCCCGCGCCGCCGCCCGTCTCGAGGTCGTCCAGAGCTTCGAGCGCCTCGGCGTGGCGTTGTGCGGCGTGTCGCCCGTATGCACACGCGTCGGAGAGGCTCTGCACGCATTGCTCGTACCGGGTGCCCAGGCGGTCGACTTCCTGGTAGCGGCGGAATGCAACCTCCGACGCCTTGCGGTGTAGCTCGTAGTACCCAGTGACGTCCCCGGCCGGAGTGAAGAGGGCCCGCTCCCACATCAGCTTCAGTTGGTTCGACGCGCCGCACGCATCCTCCCACGTTCGCCGCGCCTCGTCGAGCGCCGCCCGTGTCCTGCGCTCCGTGGCCTCCCGCGCCTTCCAGTTCTCGTGCGCAGCGCGTAGGTCCCGATGTGCCGCTCGTTCCGCTGCTCGCGCCACCTCTGCGTCAAGCTCCGTGGAGGCGGCGGGCTCGGGCGGTGACGGCGGTGCCGATGGCGCTTCAGCCTCCACGGAGGTGACGGGCTCGGGCGGCGACGGCGGTGCCGATGGCGGCGGCAGCGTGTCACCTGCTGGATGCTCAAGCATGTGGTCTTCGGGCGGCGCGGCGGCGGGGGTGGTCGGTTGTGCGGATCCGGTCTCGGCCGGGTGATCGGCAGCTGTTGTCTCGGCGCCGCACCACAGGCACTGGTAGGACGACTGCGTCAATCCGCAGCAGACCCGACCCGCTCCGAGAGAGCGGGCTTCCGCACCATCCCATACCTCTCGGAACGGGAAGGAGCACCGGGGGCAGTCCGCGTCAACGAGTCGGTCGGGCGCAAACCCCGTCGGTAGGGGGGTGGTCCTGCCGAGGCCACATCGGGTGCATCCCCTCGCGTGGCAGATGTGCTCTGCCCTCGCGACCCACGGCGCCCCTTGCTGGCTCTGGGGGGAGGGCGGGAGGGTCGATGTCGATGACCCCTCCGTGCTCCCGGAGGGTCGGTCCGATTCGTTGCAGAGTGTCTCCGCGTCGAGTTGAGCCTCCGCACCTTCGGCCGTGGTCAGCATGATGCCGTCCACATCGGCGAGGTTGACATGTCCGTGCCCGGTCCTCTCCTCCGCGTCCGCGCCGCCCGATGCGACGCTGGTCGCGCGCCCGCCCACGGCGAGGACCTCGGCGTCGGCGGTATCGACCCCGGTCTTGTGGTAATCGGGAGGGCCTCTGCGGGCTGCGGGGGGCTCGGTGGCAGCGAGGCGGCCTCTGCCGGCGGGCCTCCCCGCGCCGGCGAGTCGGCCATAAAGACGGCGCCTGTCGGAGAGCCCACCAGCGCCGGCAAGCCGACCTTCTCGTACTTGTTGGAGCCTGGTTGCCCAGCGTCCGCCGGGATGACAGCTGCGCCCCCCGTTCCTCTCCAGCGCAGGCGCGCCAGCCGCTCCGTACCTGCCTTGATGAGCCAGCTCAGCAGGATCAGCAGCAGTACCGCCGCCCCCACCCATCCCCATGCAGCCGAAGAGGGCGGGCGCGGTTTCTCTCCGTTGGTACCTTCGGCCGACACTCCTCGTACCAGGCCTAGCCAGCATGCGGCTCTGCCCGCCGCCAGGCCGTACGTTGTCCCGCCTGTGGCTGCCCACAGCATGGGCGCCCAGCCCCACCACGGTACTGGTTCTGTCCACCGTGAGGTCCACAGGAAGGGCGACAGTGGGTGGAGCGGAGATGGTAGCGCTGGCGGGGGCGGTTGCGGAACAAAACCTTGATTTGACAATTTGCGCACAAGGTTGCGCACAAAGGTACATGTCGGTGCCTTCCAGAGGCAGCTGCGACCCCGCCGAGTAGACGGTTGCACACAGCAGGTGGCGCGGTGTGCAACCGTTCACTCAGCGGGGTCGCAGCTGCCTCTGCGCGTCCTGGGTATGTACCTTTGTCGCGCGCCGGAGACGACTCGACGCCGCTGAGATCGGAGATCAAGCTCTGAGGCAGGTCGCACGTCGCTCCTTTGACGCCGACGTGACTCACCCGTGCAGATCACATCAGGACACGGTCTCAACACGCTCGGTACGACGCCTGCGACCCGTCTTGGGTCAGCTGGCACGACGCTCATCGCGCCTACCAGCGATGCCGTACAGGTTGCCACGACGAGGTCGAGCACGCTTCTACTCGAGCATACGCTCGCCCAGCCTTCCTTTCCATCCCATTAGCCAGCCTGGGAACGGTGGCGATCAGAGGCAAAGCCTACAAGGGGTGGTGGAACCACATATCACGGCTACTGCCGGCTCGACCCAACGATAGCCTCCGGAGGCTGACTTTTAGGCACAATCATCGGACGACGTCGGCGAGTTGAGTCGCGCCGCTCGCGGTATAGCCAGATGACCCCTCTCATACTAGTATCATCGGCCATTAGCGTGTCAGAGCGTGAATTGGAACTACAACTAGCCTATATCACAGTTCACACACACCCCAGACCCCCCACGTTAATTCGTATACATAATTACAGGGTTCCAGGTAGGAAACTTGTCTGGCACAGTGGCATTCATCTCGTATCTGACACTCGTCGCCTCGTTCGCCGTGTCGGGGTGCGTCCGTGTGGCCTCGCTCTGTGGGCAGCTGCATCCTGCAACGCTGCAAGCGATGCTTTCAATCGACTTGCAGCACGGCAATGCCATGGAAAACCCGCGCTGCCGCCAGCGGCGCCACCGCCTCCCATGCATCCAGCGTTGGATCGTACCGCTCCACCGAGGCGAGGAAGCCGCTCCCACCGTCCCCACCCACCACAACGTCATTCTCACCGCCCACAGCATACAGCTTGCCTTCGAGCACTGCAACGGCGGGAAGACGCCTCGCCGTATTTTGCGGGGTTACCGCCTCCCACGCGTTCGCTGCTGGATCATACCGCTCGACCGAGCTGAGGACGCCGCCGTCGCCGCGCCCGCCGACGGCGTACAGCTTGTCGTCGAGCACCGCCACGCTGAAATCGGCCCGAGCAGCCGCCATCGGCGCCATCATCTCCCACGCATTCGTAGCAGGGTCGTACCGCTCGACCCTGCTTAGGGCGCTGCCGCCGGCCCATCCGCCCACAGCGTACAGTTTGCCACCGATCACTGCAGCTGCGAAGTTTGCGCGCCTCGTGGCCATCGGCGCCACCGCCTCCCACGCATCAAGCGCCGGGTCGTACCGCTCCACCGAGCTGAGCCAGCCAAACTCGGCGCCGTACCCGCCCATAGCATACAGCCTGCCATCGAGCACCGCCACGCCGAGGCTGTATCGCGCCCTCGTCATCGGCGCCATAGCCTCCCACGATTTCGTGGCCAAGTCGTACCGGTCCACCAAGTCGGCAGGTGCAAAGCCCGCCACGTAGCCGCCAACCGAGTACAGCTTGCCATCCAGCACCGCCTTGCCGAGACCCCGCCGTGCCGTCAGCATCGGTTCCATAGCCTCCTCCTGCCATGCATCCTCCACCGGGTCGAACTGCTCAATCGAGCTGAGGTAGCCACCGCCGCTGCCGTTGCCGCCAATCACGAGCAGTCGCGGCCTCTCGCGCTTCGCCAGCGTCTCCTTCCAGCCGCGGCGCCACGCGCGGCACGTCCCCTTGGCGGCGTGCTCCTTGGTCGGCAGCTGGGCGAGGATGTGCGGGGCGAGGTCCGGCGAGAGGAGGACCTCGGAGAGCACCCACTCGGGCTGCTCCACGAGCCGTGCGGCGTGCTCCTCCGCCACGCGCAGCGCGGCGTCGCTCGCGCTCGCCTGCGCCTCGATGATGGCGCACAGCTGCGCTGGCGAGAGGCCCGCGACGCGGGCGCCGATGCGGTGGGAGGCCATCGACGGGGAGGTGAAGCGGCTGCCCACGCGGCAAAAGGCAGGCTAATAAGAGCTCGTACTTGCCGGAAGATCCGGCGCCGTTCCGGCGCCGCTTTTGGGAAGAGGCAAAACATGCAGCACTCAGCCTTCCCTCCCCCTCCCGGATGGAAGTACTACCTGAGCTCGACCGTGCTTGACTTCGCTGTTCAGATGGGAAGCGGTAACCCACGGTGATATGGCCGCATGTGGTTAAACAGCGGGGGAGATCTCGCCTACATAGGACTCAGTAAAGTAAATCTTGCCGTCGTTTCCCTTCGGTATATACCATAAAATGTACAACATGCAAACAAACTCTCCACAACATGCACATGTGCATGTGCATGTGCATGTGCATGTGCATGTCCCCATGTCCATGACACGCATGTGGCATGAGTTTTCAGGGTAGGCTCCGCCTCACTGCATCTCGGACTGGATTCCACGAATTGATTTTCCTAGCGTCGTCAAAGTGAGCTGAAAGCTCGCTCGAAGAGCCGATGTCACCCGCCGACCGCCTCCCATCTCGCCGCTGCTCTGGCGGGGCGGCGGCGGGGCCTGGCGACGGCGCGCGGCGCATGTGCCGTGGCGACCCACCGGGCCGGCCGGCCGCGCAGGCGCCGACCGGTGATCGCCACCGCGCCCCGCCTCGGAACGCCGTTTCCGCTTGGCGTCCGAGGCGCTCGGCGTTCCCGCTGGAGCGCGAGATCGGACCGGGTCGGACGCTCCTTTTCTCGCCGTAGGCACGGCTGGCCGGCTGGAGCAACGGAAAAACAAGAATCGCACCGGTCAATCCTCTCCGGCCAGCCTCGGGCTAATTAAAGCCGCAAAAAATCGGAAGGTTCCGCCGCCCCGGATTCCACCTCCCTGGCCCTCCACGCCCCGCGCGCGCGACCGTATCACCGCCGCAGTCGGCCTCCCCGCCCCGCGTGCTGTAGGAGCGGCGCCCACCCACCGGAGACGCCTTCCCCTAGACCGCCCGACCACCCCGCCCCCTTCGGCAGGTGCCTCGCACGTATTTTGAGCGCGAGAGGCCTCCTTTGAGGTGGCGGCCGGCCGCCGCGTCGCGTGGTGAGGCGGCATGAGGCCGTCCCCCCTTCACGTTCGAAGGCGGGCCGGCCACGGCACCGGCTGTCGCGGCTCGAGGGCGGCAGGCGAGCCGCCCCCCCCTCCTCCCTCCCTCTGCCCCTTCCTCCCTTCCCCGCAGCGCTGCCCACGGCACCATCTCCTGGTGCCCCGCTGCCGCCCCACCCGCCGCGCCGCCCGCCGCCGATGGCCCGGCCGCCACCGCCACCGTCGGCGGCCGCCTCCCGCCCACCCGCACCGCCGCCCCGGCCACTGCCACCCGCGCCGCCGCCTCGCCCAACGCCGCCGCCGGCCCACCCTCCCGCCCGTCGCCGCTGCCGCCGCGCCGCCGCTGCCGCCCTCCGGGCCGCCTCCGGCCCCGCCACCTGCCTCGCCGCCGCCCACGCGACTGGCCTCGCCGCCGCCACCGCCACCGCCCTCCCCACCGCCCTCCCCTCCGCTCTCACCGCCGCCGACGCGCCGCCACGCCGCCTCTGCCTCCGCCCTTGCCGAGCCGTCGCCACCGCCCTTCTCGCCGCCTCTGCCGCCCATGCCGCCTTGGGTGCCGCCTATTCCGTGGCCCTCGCCACCGCCGCCGCCGTCGCCGCCCCCGCCGCCACCGCTACCGCCGCCTCCCGCCCCGCCACCCCCTCCGACACCGTCACCCCCCCTCCCTCCCACCATCCCGGCCGGCCTCCTCCGTTCTAGCCCCAACTACCACACACCACCACCGACCTCCCCGCGCCCCCACACGCCGGCCCCGCGCACCCACGCCAAAACCATCGCCCACGTCGCCCTCCCGGCCCCCCACCCCGCGCCCCAGGCTCTTCTTAGCTCCGCTCGGAGCGTCCTGGCGCCGCCTCCCCAACCGCTGCGGCCCACGCGGCCGCCGGGCGGCGCGACGGCGGCTACCGGCCGGCATAGCCCTTCCAGCGCCGGCCGGGGGCTGCGGCGGCGCGCGGCGCGCGGCGGGCAAGCTGCCTGCTGGCGGGCGGCGCTTCTAGTCGTGATTTTAGTGCCGCGTAGGTCGCCCTTCGGCCACTTCTCGGGCGTGCGGCCGCAGCGCGGCGAGAAGGCGGCGCGCTCGGCCCGCTGGCGGAGGTGAAGCCCCCCAGAGCGGGAGCTGGCGGGCCGGGGGCGTCGGGCGGGTGCGCGGCGGCACCCGTGCCACCGGGACGGGCCGTGGTGGCCCGTATGGCGGCCGTGAAGGGCCGTTTGGTGCGCCCCGGCGGCCTCCTGCACGGCGGCCGCCGGGGCCGGTTTGGACTGTGTTTGGGGGGGTGGAGGGGTCCGGTAGCCGGTGTGATGGTCGTTTATCACCCTCCTATCACCCACTTACCGCCCCCGGCCGTGGGGGCCTCTCCAGACGCCGCCATTTATGATTTCAAAGGGTCCTGCCGACGCTCATCACAGTGCGGCGGAGGGGCCGGAGCCGGCGCCGCGGAGGACGAGGATGGCCGTGGCGGACCGGGACGAGCTCTGGGAGGTTCAGTGTCAGTGAGTATATTGTAGAGGCCACCCATGTGCACAATATCTTGACTGAGAGCTAAGCCAGGGGAGGCGATGCCGGGGCCGTACAGCAGCTTGATGGTGTTGCGCCGGCGTGCGTCCCGCCGGCCGCCGGGGCCGGTTTGGACTGTGTTTGGGGGGGGGGAGGGGTCCGGTGGCCGATGTGATGGTCGTTTATGGCCCTCCTATCACCCACTTACCACCCCCGGCCGTGGGGGCCTCACCGGACGCCGCCATTCATGATTTCAAAGGGTCCTGCCGTCGCTCAGTCCGAATCACAGTGGGGCGGAGCCTACCCTGTTCAGAGTCTAAGGTCTGCCCACTGGCACTGGCCACTGCCGGACTCTGGCAGCGAAACTCACGTCACAGACTGGTGAGACCTGCCTGCTTTCCGCCAAAAACACACAGACAAGAAGAGACACTCTCTCACCTGTGTGAGATGATTGCATCGGCATCAGGGTCCACACGCTCCGCCTCGATCTCTAGAACTTGTGCACCTGGCCAGCAGTGTACCCCATGTCCGCCAGCAGCCCGGTCAGCTCCTCCTCCCCGCGCGGCCCGCATAGCAGGTCGTACATCGGCGGCGGGCCGCAGACAAAGAGGGCGCTGTCGGCGTCGGGCGGCGTGAGCGCCTGCCGCAGGAGCGGCTCGCTGATGAAGCCGCGCGCGCCGGCCCACGCCGACCCAGCAGGCTCGTGGGAGAGGACGTGCGTCACGTTGAGCCGGCCGGGGTACGCCGCCGACCAGGCGTCCAGCGTGTCGCGCGCGAGAATGTCCGGCTCTGTCTTTGACCCGTACAGCAAGTCGACCACTGTGCTGTCGTCGGCCGAGCCCAGCACCGCGTGCAGCGCCTGAATCATGGGCGCGATGCCGGTGCCGCCCGCGAGCATGCCCAGGCGCCGCCTCCCGAACGGGTACTGCGTCTTGACGTTGAACTGGATGTGCTTAAACGCGACCGGCGCCCCGATCGGAAGGCCGTCAAGGTGGGCCGAGAGGCCGCCCGAGTAGACCTTGACCATCAGCTCAAACTTGCCGAGCAGTGCGTTAGTGGAGACGGGGGTGTACGGCCGCACGACGGGCTCGGCTCCCTCCGCGCCGCCGCGCGCCAGGATGCACGCGCACGTTGACAGGCCGAGCGGCTTTCCGGGATCGGGCAGCCCAAAGGTGAAGAGGCGCGTGTCGTGGTTGAGGTCCGCGCGGCCGAGCAGCGGCGCGGCCACCCACTCCTCGCCGAACTGGCACTCGCCGGGCGGCACGAGCGCGGCCACTGGCGGCGGCACGGAGGAGAAACGGCGGCGGAGAGGGGCGGCGAGCGGCGGAGAGAGGCGGAGCGGCTGGCGCGAAGCGCTGGCGTGATGCAGGGCCATGAGCGATCTGGGTATGCAGGTTGCTCCCGTACGGCGCAGCGTCATAGACGGCAGAGAGGACGGCACTTGTACACGAGCGTAGCACGCGAAGGCGGCGATCAGAGGCCGGGGGCGGTACAGTGGGTTGCTTTGGAATCTGCTCGTTCGTTCTCAGGGAGGGGCGTAGTCCCGTTCACACCCTCACTTAGGCATGAGCGCCCGAAACTTAAACGGCGGGCGCTTGACGAACCCGAGGGGGGGGCGGGGGCAGCAACGGCTGCGGCCCCGAGAGTCGAATCGACAACTCATAGTTCGAACTGGCGACTCATCTTGCTGAAATCGCCCTGTGGGGGCGGCAGCGGCGACCGCCCCGGGGGCGGCAGCGGTGACCGCCCCGGGGAATATGTTTAGCGACTCCCACCCCCAAGGAAGTTCTGATAGACATGTCGTGAACACCCCAAGGGGTGTGAAAGTAAATACTCCACTTATTCACAGATACCATACCAGCAAAGTACCCGAATCCAACTCCACGTGCCCAAGCGCACACCGGCCGGAGCGCCACCGGGGGGTGCCGCCCTCCCGTTCATGAGCCCAACAACACGAACGCTATCCATCCTCACCGGCCCCCATCCCCGTGGTCGGCCTCGCTCGCCGCGCCAAGCCGCGGTCCGGTCGTCCGCCCGGTGGCCAAGCCCAAGGGCGGGGAGGGGGCCACCCGCGCTCGCGCAGCGTGGTAGCGGCGGATGCGTCCTGATCGACGCGTTTCAATACGCCATTACCGGTTGCCGAACCGGTGTCATCGCCTACAATTGGGCGATATCCCACAAATCGTGGAACAAGTACATGCACGCCTTGCATGGCAACACTGTTGGCACGCGGAGCACTGCAGCACGCGATGCCGAAACACACCAGGCGCAAGAGCCGCACCAGGCGCAAGAGCCACAACAGGCGCAAGAGCCGCACCCGGCGCAAGAGCCACAACAGGCGCAAGAGCCACAACAGGCGCAAGAGCCACAACAGGCGCAAGAGCCACAACAGGCGCAAGAGCCACAACCGCAGGCGCAAGAGCCACCACCGGCGCAAGAGCCACTTCAGGCGCAAGGGCCATCACAGGCGCAACAACCGCCAACACTGGATCGGGACCAGCCGCCAACCGACCGAGAGCCGCAGCCGCAAGAGGCACCCCAGGCGCAAGAGCCCCCACAGCCGCAAGAGGCACCGCAGGCGCAAGAGCCACCGCAGCCGCAAGGGGCACCACCGACGCAGGCGCCACAGCAGGAGGCAAACCCGGCGCAACTGCCGTCGCAAATCGACATTAATCAGATCGCTGCAGCCATCGCAGCCGCCAATGCGGCGGCTACCCGCATTGACCGAGAGGCTAGCGCTGCCGCCGCCCGAGCTGAAAGGGAGGCGATGATTGCTGCCTTCGCCACCGCCAGTCGCACGGGCCATGAAGAGGCGATGACCGATTTCGCAACGGCCCTGCGCAATGCCCTCTCTAATGAGGGTGGAGCCACACGGGGCTCACTCTCAGCCAAGGTCACGCGCACGTACGACGCGGACATCCCAAAGCTCGAGGGAAAGAACATCACCCCGCAAATGATGGCGGAGTGGTTGGCGCGCTTCACGGACGCCAATGTCCGCCACCGCTTCATTGCAAGGCACGGCGCCGCCCGCCCGACTCTTCGACCTCCCTGTGGAGCTCCTCACGCGCGCCATCTCTCGCCTCGACGGCCCCCTTGACATCGCTCGCGTCGCACCCGTCTCGCGGCTCTTCCACTCCTCGCTCGCGGAGCAGGGCATCCGCTTGTGGGCACAAGAGCGCGGCTTCGAGCTGAGCCCTGGCCTCGACACCTCGACACCAAACCTCGACACCGACTCGACACCTCGACAACCCATGCCAACTCGACAAACTCGACACCCCTCGAACACTCGACACCCGCTCGACACCCGCTCGACACCCTCGACACCCTCGACACCCTCGACACCCTCGACACCCCTCGACACCCCTCGACACTCCTCGACACGGACAAGCATGGTTTCAGCCTCGACAGGCCTCGACAGGCCTCGACAGGCCTCGACAGGCCTCGACACCTCTATCCCTCGACAGCAGCTCGACACCCTCGACACCGGGCCTCGACACCTCGACACCAGGGCTCAGGCTTCGAGCTGCTGGTACAGCCAGAGGGCGAGAGCTGCGCCGTGCAATGGGTGTGCCTTTCTGCCCTGCAGCGCGAGTCCAACCCGCCGGTGAGGCTGTCAGCAGGCAATGTGCACAGCCTCTTCATCGACAGCGAGGGGCAGCTCTCCTCGTGCGGCGTCCAAGGTGGTGGCTTCCCGGGAGTACTCGGCCACGGCGAGGGCGTGACGGGCGTGAACACGCCCACGCCCCTCCCGTCGCCGCTGGGCGGCGAGCGCGCCGTGAGTGTGTCGGCTGGAGGATACCAAAGCTTTGCCCTCACCAGCAGCGGCGCCCTCTGGAGCTGTGGCGTTGGAGCCTATGGCCGGCTGGGCCACGGCGACCAGCAGAACCAGGTGCTGGCAAAACAGATCGAGGCCTTCGCGGGCCAGCGTGTCATCGCTGTGTCGGCTGGGGACGTCCACACCCTCGCCATTACCGCCGATGGAGCCGTCTGGAGCTGGGGCAGTGGACGCACTGGCAAGCTCGGCCACGGGACAGACCTGTCGAACCAGTGGGAGCCCAAGAAGGTTGAGGCCCTAGCTAGCAAGCGTGTCGTCGCTGTGTCGGCGGGATATTGCCACAGTCTCGCCCTCATCGCCGACGGCGTCGTCTTCTCATGGGGCGAGGGAGAGTCCGGCTGCCTCGGCCACGGAACCAAACGAAACCGATCGAGGCCCGGCAAGATCGAGGCCCTGGAAGGGCAGCATGTCATTGCTGTGTCGGCTGGACGCTCCTACAGCCTCGCCGTCACCGCCAACGGCGCTCTCTGGAGCTGGGGCGATGCATGCTTCGGCAGCTTGGGCCACAACGACCACCTGAACCACCTGCTGCCAAAGAAGATAGACGCGTTGGCTGGCCATCGCGTCGTCGCTGTGTCGGCTGGGCTACACCACAACCTCGCCCTTACTGCCGACGGCACCGTCTGGAGCTGCGGCGGTGGCTACTTCGGCCAGTTGGGCCACGGCGACGGTCAGTGCCATCCACAGCCCAAGAAGGTCGAAGCCTTGGCAGGGCAGCGCGTCGTCGCCGTTTCGGCGGGATCCGAACACAGCCTCACTGTCACCGCCAACGGCGCCGTCTTCACCTGGGGCGGCGGCATGTACGGCTGCCTCGGCCACGGGGATGGCATTGCGAACGCTCTGCTTCCCAAGAAGGTCGAGTCCTTGGAGCTGTGATCTGTGCAAGCGTGATCGGTTAATAACCGACACGTGTGTGTAACTCCTCTCACTAGCGCTTTTTCGAGACCTTGACGTTCAGACAACCGACACGGACACGTGTGTGCAACTCCTCTGACTAGTTCTTTTCACAGACCTTAGACAGCAGGGAAGAGTCGATGTGCAAAAAGAAAAGCCTTACTGCGGTCGCCACGCCCGCGCACTTGAGCCAGCTACTGAACTCCGAGTTGAAAAATGCGATCGAATTATTTTTTGCAACTCAAAATGCCCTCAGGCTCAGCATCTCAAATTGCGGGTTCCCCGCCCCTAGTGCCTAGACGAAACGTCTACACAAAGTGGCTAAAGGGCTTAGGCCTTAGCACCCGGTGTTCGTGTGTGAATCTGAAGAAGAGAAACGCAACAAACAACATTGATGATCATGATGAAACGCAAACAGTGATTACGCATACCTTTCCTCCTCAGACATCAGGGAGCCACGTGCCCCAGCACCAGCCCGTGCAGCAGCCGAGCACCTCACACCCCGCCTGCCGCACCCACCCGGAGTGGATCGCCGTGGTCCATGCCCTCGTGGGCGGTCCGCACCAGCTCGCGGCGCACCACAGGTCGTCCATGACGACGAAGGAGCCCGGAGCGGCCAGTCTCCGCATGTCCCGCAGGTCCTGCAGCGCACCGTGGTAGCTGTGGTCGCCGTCGATGGAAGTGACGTCGCAGTATGGCGGAGCGGCGGCGCGCGCCAGCGCGGGCAGGGTCTCGTGCGTCGAGCCAGCCTATTCCACACCCAGAGCGCGTGGGGCATGTGCCGTGTGCTCTGGCGCTGCCTCGCTCGCGTCTCTGCTCGGCCGTCAGCTCAAAGCGTCCCGGGAAGGATCGGTTGAGCAGCGGGATCGCGCCGCGGGTCACGTCGAAGCGCACGAGGTCAAAGGAGTGGTAGGTCGCAGTCGGGAGCGCACACAGCCAAGCCAGCGCCGAGTGGCCTGTGTTGAGGCCAATCTCGCACACCTTGGGCCGCGCGACGACGTGCGAGACGTGCTCGCGCGCGAGGCTGACCCAGTGCAGCCGCTCGTATGCGGGAGACCGGCCCTCCCGATTCGCATTGCCCACCGCAGCTTTGCTCCGGATCATCGCCTCGAACGGCTCGGAGGCTGCCTCGTACCTCTGTCCAGCGGCCCGAGGCTCGTGCGGGCATGCCATCGCACCGAGCTCACGCGTTGAGAGCGCCGACTCCTGAGCGGCAGAGACCATGTGCGCAAACGGGCATGGCCGCCGCGTGAGGCCCGGGCATCGCTCGCCGACCCATCCTGCATAAAGGCTTGCATTGAGCACGAGCGGCCTCCACCGGCGGGTTGCACCTCCGGCTCCGCTGCGCCGCCGCTGCACCTCCGGCGTAGCGTGTACGGTCCTGACGGACCGCGCCGCGATGCAGATCAGCAGAGCCGCGGGTGTTTGGATACCCATTCGCTCGTGCTGCCCGGCGACTCTACTCAGCGACCCTTCTTCAGTGACCCGGTTGCACCTCGACACGTCACGTCACTCACCCTCCACGCAGCCGCCCTTCGGCGCCCGCTCGTTCACGGCCCCCGGGCCTTCACAGCTGTGAGAGAGAGAGAGAGAGAGAGAACCGCCAATGGGCCGTTATCCGTTAGTGCGGACGTCGCCGCGGCTCGCCTCTGCCGCGGCGGCTGCTGCGCGCACGCGGCGGCGCCGCTCTCTCGCGAGACGGCTGGCGACGCGGCTCGCCGCCGACGTACGGTGCGCTCGTCCGACGGTCCGCGGCGTGGCGTGCGCGGCGCTGAGCGCCGCTCTGCGAGCGCCTCTGCGCCTGCACTGCCTGTCTCTGTTGCTGGTGGTGGTGGTGGTGCTGCTGCTGCTGGTGCCGATGCTGCTGCTGGCGCGGCGCGGCTGTGCGACTGGGCTCGACGCGCGCGTCGCGAGCGTCTGACGCGGCGGGCGGCGTCGGGCAGGTGCGCTTCTCTCTCGGGTGGTGGTGGTGGTGCTGCTGCTGCTGCTGGTGGTGCAGGTACTGCTGCTGGTGCGGCGCGGCTCTCCGACGCGACTCGATGCGCGCGTCGCGGCTATCTGACGCGGCGGGCGGCGTCGCGGGCGGCAGCGGTGGCGGCTCGCGGGTGGAGGTGGAGGCTGGAGGCTGTGGCGGACCTTTCACTACTTGCTGGAGATGTTGAGGCGGCGGTGGCTAGGGGACCATCGCGGGGAGCTGCGCGTCCGGAGGGCGAGCTGTGCAGATCCGGATGGCTTCACCTTCGTTGAGCAGCTCAACCCTCTGGGGAGTGAGTCGCCGACGCCGGTGTCTTGACACCCAACACTCTACCTTAGCTCCTGAGGGGCGCGTGGTTCTAACCACGTAGTAAGACTACAGCCCACCACAGACACCCTCCCCACTCCTCACGTGTGCACACTCCCTCACCCTCTCCTCTCTCCTCTCTCTCTCTCTCTCTCTCCTCTCTCTCCTCTTGTCTGTGCTGTCTGCCTGACTCAGGCACTCAATCTGCCGATGCGTGATTGTGTGTGGGCTGCTCCGAGGGGGCCCTCTGTGCGATCCGACGGGTAGGGGGGCTGTGCCCGGGCGGTGTCCGGTGTGGAGTCCCCTTCTGATCCCGCCTGGGATGTTGGGTGTGAGGTTGTGGCGGCTTCGATCCCAAGGGGGGGAGCTGATCCCACTCAATAACCAACTCTCAGGGGCAGTAGGTGGGCGAGCTTCAGGCACGCTCATCTCGATCGTCAAGACGTTGCTACGCGCGGTCTTCCGCGGGGGGAGCTGCGTCGACGGGTGCGGGACCGCGGCGCAGCCAGTGCCGCGGCGAGGCCTCCGGCTGTTTGCGGCGGGCGGGTTGCTGCTCGCTGCGATGGCGAAAAACTCGTCTCGCCACACGCCAAGGGCTTATGCTCTGGCGAGACGTGAGGCGCATGCGCCCAGGAGGGGAGGGGGCATGTGTAACGACACTGCTTGAGATGCCTTTCGGGGCCCAGAGATAAAACTTCTGTGATGCCATGCGTGACCTAGTAGTGTCCCCAGCTATGGGCGTGTCCACGTTGGAGCCAGGTGTGGTGTGGGCGCGAGAATAGCTCCGCCGTTCATGGAGGCAACCGATGCGAGTCGACTGGTGTGTGTCGTCGTGGTTTCGTATCAAGAATTCTCTCTCTCTCTTCACAGCTGTCTCAGGTGCGGGCGTGCTCGTGTCGGCGTACTGTCTGCTAGGTGACCTTCTTGTTTCTTAGTCCCCCTTTCTCTGATTGCAGGTCTTGTTGGCAAGTCAGGACACAGAGCTCATCTGCCCCAACAGTAGGGGGAGGGCTCCCACCCACCTCCCAGGGCTTGGTTGGAGGTCTTTTCAGTTGCAAGCAACCATCGCGAGATCCACACACTAACACAGACGTCTGAAGAAAGGAAAGGAGGAGGGAACATCGTTTCACCTCGTGTGACATGTTGTATGGCCACCACACCCGAGAAGGTCACGGTCCTGAGAAAGAAGGTCGAAGAGAAGCGGCCACGCAACACACTACACACTCGCCTACTTGCGCCCACGCAGCACGGCCTCGAGATCCACAGAGCCGCGCACGACGAGCTCACGCGCGCGGCCCATCAACGCGCTCGGGGATGCGGGCATCGGGAGCACGTCTTAGCCCTAGTGCGGACGGTTTTTTGCGGTATCTTGATGTATCTCTGCAATATCTGACCGTATCTCCCTGTATCTCCTTGCATCTCATCGCATCTCCCCGTATCTCCCCGTATCTCCCCGTATCTGCCCGTATCCGCCCGTATCTCGTATCTCCCGGTATCTCCCGGTATCTCCCGGTATCTCCCGCCATATCCCGCCATATCCCGCCATATCCCGCCGCGGATACCGCGAAAAAAACCGTCCACACCAGGGATCGTCTTCCAGGAAGTTCGACCTGATAGACGCCTGCACCGCGTCTGCAACCTCCGCATCACTCGACGCCTGAGGATCATGGTCCCGGGGAGGTCGAAGAGAAGGTCGAGAAGGACATGTCGGGCTAGGCGTGGACCTAGGGGCAGGGCTGCATGGCGGCGGCGGGCGCGCGCTCATATGTCTTGCTTTTGCATTGGCACTCCACCTCCTCGGTGACCTGCGTGCGCGGGAACGGCAGGGGTCATGTCGCGCGCACCGCCGGCGGCGCCGTGCTCGCAGCAGCCGGGATCGCGGCAGAGTTATGGTGGAGAGCTCTACCCGCGCACCTGCCCAGCGAGGAGCTCGACGCCGCTCCTGGCAGGCGAGGCAGGGATCTCGGCGACGTTGGAGAGCGGGCGCACGATGTCGTGGGCGACGCCCGTCCGCAGCCACGTCGTGGTGACGATGATGGCGAGGAGCATCACGGTGGAGAGGAGCGTCCCGGCGCTGCTTGGGCTCGCTCGAGTTTCCGGTGAGGGCATGGGCGCGGCACGGCATGGTTTTTTTTTTGTTGTATCAGGGCTTTGAGGTGGACCTCCAAGAATTTTTTCTGGGCGGGCGGTTTGTTTGGTTGGAGAGAGAGAGAGAGACACGGGGTCCCAGGGAAGTCGAGCAAAAACCCGAGCAACAAACGAACGATGCGACTTGTGTGAGTGCTAGAGTAAGGACCTCGCCAAGGCGGACGGGAAGAGCCTCTGCCACGACAGCCTGCGCAAGAGGCCCACGCTGCCCGAGGCGCTGCTAGCTCTCCGGGCGCTGCTGTCTGGCGCGCAGGGCGGGGCGGGGGTGGAGGAGGCTGCGCCGGCACCTGGAGACGAGGCCGCTGCGGCAGCCGCCCGCACCACCGGCTACGAGCCTTCGCCGCTCTCGGTGCAGGTGCGCGGCATGCGCACGGGCGGCGACGCGCAGGCGCGCATCCAGGGCAACATGCTGCTCGCCTTCAACACGCTGATGCCGTGCCTCGACGCTGCGTACGCCTCGCGCTCTGCGGCGGCGCCCGACGGCTTCGAGGAGCGCATCAACTTTTGGCACCGCGAGTGCGGCCTGCCGACCGAGCTGCGGAGGCAGCTGCACTCGCTGCGCATCTGGGCGAACGCGGCGAGGCACCACGACGCGGCGAGGTGGAGGAGGGACGGGCCGCGCAGCGAGGGGGAGGCGTCGCGGCTCGTGGCCGCGGTGACGGAGGCGATCGGGGCGATCGAGGGGTGAATACAGTCGCTGCGCTGGCGGTCTTGAGGCCTCGCGATCGTCTCGCTTTGCCACAAACGAATATGTGTGCTAGCCGGGTTGCGTGTTCTTCTTTTTCGTGCCGAAGGACATGTCGATTCCTACGTACCCGCTCCCGACCAACAAGCAAAGGCGCGAGATACACACTTTTGAAGTATGCCACGATTTCGCGGCAATCCTCCAAAAGATTTTAAATCCTCGGCCGGATCAAGAATTGCCTCATCAAGTGGTGCTGCCTCTGTGGTGAACTGGTGTGAAAATTTGTCTCGTCGAAAACCAGGGCGGCATCGCGCCGCCGACCAAGAGAATCATCTTCACAACTTCGCCAAAGAGGTCGGCAGCCCGAGCGCCGTCGACCGCACCGACTACGGCACAGCCTCCGGCAGCGCCCGGGGCTTCGCCCAGCACCACTCGCAACAGCTCTCGCGCGCCGCCGTCTGTGGCGACGCGCAAAACATCAACAACGCTGCTCGCAACATGCGTGTTGCGCACTCATTCATGACCGGTCTCAATGTCCCACCCCCCTGCGCGCGGGCCTTCTAGGCCCGCGGGTAGTGTCCCCCCATTCCCAGGGCCTCCAGGGCTCGCACCTCAACCTCTCACAGACCAGCGCACAGCGCCATCCGCTGAGCCCTGGCTGTCAGGCTGTCAGGTGCTGTCAGGTGATCTGTCGGGCTGTCGGGCAGCTGTCAGGCATTGTCAGGTGCCTCTGTCAGACCAGCTGTCAGGTGCTGTCAGTGCTGTCGGGTGCTGTCGGGTGCGTGTCTGGCAGTCGAGGTGCTCTGTAGCTGTCGGGTGCTGTCGGAGCTGTCGGGTGTTGCTGTCAGACGCTGTCGGAGCTATCAGAGCTGTCAGGCTGCTGCTGCTGTCAGACGTTGGGCTGTTGCTGTCAGGTCCATTCAGGTGGTGCTGTCGGGGTGCTGTCAGGCTCTGACACACACCAGCCACACTTATGACACTATCAAGAGGAGACCAGCAGGACTCTACTACACATACTCTCAGCCTCTCCTCCTACACGGCGTGATCACGCCGGCGGCGGCGGCCGCCTGGGGTGCGCATATGGCAGCACAGGCGCAGGCGGCGGCGGCGGCACAGACGGCGGCGGCCACCCCCACCCAGACGCCGTAGGCATATGACTGTAGGGCCCCAGAAGGCTAGCTGGTAGCTTCATTTGTAGTAGCACAGCCGCCGGTGCTAGAGAGGGGTCCCCGCAGACGCGCAGAGGTGTGGGACGGGAGGGTTGAGAGAGAGACCCATGACCATCCCATGACTACATGGACCACACTCACATGTCTTTGCATGTAATAGTTTTGTTATACCCTCATGGGGCACAGGAAAGAGGCTCTACGGGGTCTGACTGTGTACGGTCTGTGCTGCTGTCGGGCTGTCAGCGCTGCTGTCAGGCCACTGTGTGCTGTCGGGCTGTCGGGCAGCTGTCAGCCTGTTAGGGCCTGACAGCGACGGAGCACCTCGACTGTCAGACTCTGCTGTCAGGCTGTCAGATACGTGCTGTCAGACTGTCGGAGAAAGTGCTGTCAGCGCTGTCAGGCTGTCGGGCACTGACCACTGTCAGGCGCTGTCCGGGGTTTGCTGTCAGGCTGTCAGACCAGGGCTCAGGCCATCCGACGTATTTCTTCTCAATAACAAGGCTGTGAACGAACTAGCCTGTTTGCGCGCACTGGGTTCCGGCTCCTAGCCGGATAGGGGGTCTGTTGACCACTCGCGCCAAAACGCCCTACCTACCTACCTACCTATCCCCAGGCCGCGCAGCGAAGCGAAAAAAGACGAAAATAGGGGGTACCTACCTGTTGTAGGACCCTCTGGGGCGGTCAAAACCGGACCTACCTACCTATTGCATAGGGTGTCACCGTGATGCAGACCCCCTATCCGGCTAGGAGCCGGAAGCCTCCTGCCAAAGCTCTTGGGAGCGCCCAAACCGCGACCTGCGCGTGGCACAAGAAGGATCCCAGATGGCAACCGCCGACGATGGCTGGAACGAGGAGGAGCTGTCGAGAATGACGATCCGCGGACGCGGCTGCTTGCCCGAGGCCGACGGCCGCTCCTTCATGGCGCTGCTCGACATTTGTCACTTCTTGGTCGATCAGATCACGCAGGCGCACAATTTTTCCGACGTCGACGAGGCGAGTAATCTGCGCGCCACCGACACGCAAAAGTGCATGCTCCTCTCCGCCCAGATGTGGACATATTGGTACTCCGCACCGGCGGGCCCGGGCGTCTACGAGATGCTTCTCGATTGGACGTCGCACCAGCAGCGCGGCGGCAGGGCGCGCTCCTCCGTCCTCGCCCAACGGGAGCTCGGCAACGCAAAGTGCCGTGACATGCAGGGCGTCGCGCTGCAAGCGCTGGTGGTCAATGAGTGCGCGCAGTGGCCCAGACGCCGCAAAACGGGCGCCTTCTACTTTGCAGGCGAGGATGCGAGCGGTGCGGCGCTGCTGGCGGATGCGGAGGCCGTGGAGACGCTCTACCGAGTGGTCGGCCTCTCCACGTCCCTCGGAGACGTGCTGCGCGCGAATGATCGCAGCGGGAGCGGCGACGTTGTGGGCTCCGCACTGCTGCTCACGCTGCTGCCATTTATGGATGTCATCGTGTACGACGGCACTCTCCGAGGCGCGCCGCCCAACCGCGACCCCAGCTTGGTGGCGCAGCTCAAGGCGCTCGTCGCTGCCAGCGCCGCCGAAGGTGGGGGCAGCATCGTCGTGCGCCTGCCCACTGTGCCCGACGCGCCGCTCATCGGGCAGCGGGTGCTGATCGAGGGCCTGCAGGCCAAGCCTGAGCTCAACGGCCGCCACGGCGTCGCGAGCAGCTTCGACGGTAGCAGCGGGCGCTACTGCGTGTCGCTCGAGGACGGCGGCTCCTTCAAGCTCAAGCCCGCGAATCTGAGCAAGGCTGCTGCGCCGCCCGCGCGTGCCTCCTCCTCCACCGCGGAGCCGGCGGCCGCGCTCACACTCACGGCGACGGAGAAGGCTCTGCAGGAGCGGCTGCGCGGCCTACGGACGGTAGAGGACTTTTGGGTGTTTCGACGCATGGGCTACACCGAAGCGGTGAGCGCTCTCCTCCTCTGCATGCCCGTCCTTTCTGCCCCCGGCTCCCTCTCAGCCCGTGCGCCAGCTGTCTTGCGCCCTAACGTTGCGTGCCTGCAAAAGGAGAACCCGTCGCACATGGGCATGATCATGAGCGGGAACAGCGGTATGGTCGTCGCGCCGTTCCAGTCGAAGCAGCTCGCGCCCACTGCCGCCGAATACCTCACGGCGCTCGAGGCGGCGTTGTTTGGTGGCCGCGCGCAGGGCGTCAAGCCGTCGTCACTCGCCGTCGACGAGAAGGGGGCTGTGGCGCGGCTGAAGCTCGTGCTCGGCCCAGTGGGCATTCAAGCGGGGTACTACCCGCCGCCAACGGAGGAGGAGCTCTCGGCGATGGGTGTGCCGCCGTGACAGTGCGACAGGGGAGCCACCCGCTGAGTCGTGAGTGGAGAGCGAGATCGGCATAGCGCAGACGCGCCTACAGGCGACGAATCCAGTCACGTCTTTTTTTCTTCCCTTGACATGCAAAACAAAAAGAATTCACAAGAAAAGGATTCGCGAGAGCGGCCCCACTCTCATCGAGGCCCTCGGCTCGGACTTGGTCGCGCACGCCAGCATCGACGGGCACTCGACGGAAGCGGCGCGCTCGGTGCCGCCTGGCTTTGAGACGGCTGGGGGCACCTCCCAGCCAGCTCCCATCGACTGCAGCGTCGGGCCAGCGCCACCGCATCCAATTCAGCTCGCGTGCGCGTTCACCGGATCGAAACTGCTCCAGATTTCCGGCGCTATTCCAGAACCATCGGCCGGTGTCGACTATGTATCGATTGAGCTCGCTCATTACAACGATGCGGCTTGGCGCCCTCGGGTCCATTTCAGCTCCACCGTTTCTGCTCATGGGCGCTTCTCTGCCATGGTGCCGCTACAGCCAGGACGGTCGTACCGCTTAGCTGCTAGGGGTCACCGCCGTGGGTGCGCCGAGGATGGAGGAAACTTCACATTCTCATCACGGTCGTGGATGCCTGGCTCTGCCGAATGCATGACAGGTCGCATCCTACCCGAACCTGCACCTGCCGCCTCTCTGGCAAGTCAGCCAGGGCCTGCGACCCTCTGGCTGGAAGTGTTCGACAGAGCAGCATCGCACGCTGCCCGACTTCCTCGACAATCACGACTCCGGCGATGTCGGCGGGGCGGGCGTAATCGCCTCCTTGGTCGGCTCGGCATCGCCGCTGTCCGCAGCACTGACGTGGACGCGTTACTGTGTGGAGCTGGAGCAGGTGCGAGTCGTCAACACGACGACAACCACATTTGAAGGCACCCCAGCCACCTCCGCCTTCGCCGACTACCTAGGTACCGTTCGACGAATCCCACATGGATGCCACCGTTTACTCCGACCACGCCAGGAGCTGACACAACGCCGGGCGCGGAGTACTCTTCGTGGTGCCGCGGTGATGAGTGGCCGCTACCCGGTACGTCGGCTCACTACAATGCGATGCGAGTTAATGCGCAGTTCTTCTCTGCACTATAGCCCTTGAGAAAAAGCTCGCATTATGCAAACCTGTGCCTGTGTCCTAGGAAGTAGACTGGGAGGGGTACTCCCAAAGGCAAGAGGAGGTCTGGAGAGGCCCACAGCGGTCAGGAAAGGCCCCAAGAGGGTGCTAGATGAGAGTCAGCAGAGCGCGCCGTCTCGGCGGCTATGGGCAAGTGGGCTGAGAGACCAGAGGGATTTTATTCTCGGCCGGAAGTGCGCGGCTCAACTTCTAATAAATTGTGCCAGGTGTATCCGGGGGCGGGCAGCACGGAACCGATTTTTATTCGGCGCAGACCTTAGCTTCCTGAGTCACCAGAAACTCCCAACGATCCTTGAGCGGAGGCCGCCTTAGCCACTTTTCCGGCCTCTCCGGAGAATCAGAGAGAATGGCTACCAAAGCCCCCAGGTCCCTAGAGCCCATGGGCATTCCCAAAGGATATGTCAGCGTGAGGTGAGGGCGCAACGGTGGGGGCTCTCACCAGCCCCTCAAAGTCGGGGCTCTCGGGAGGCGGTCAGAGGGGCGGGCAAGGGCACGTGGGAGAAGGGTCAGTGCGGCCCACAAGGTGTGAGCTACCCCCTCTCCTAGGTGTGGCTCTACAGCCCCTGAGACCCCCTAGGCTGGGCACCATCAGCTTGGGCAGAGGTCCTCGGGGTGGGGAGAGAGGGAGCTCCCCTTTTCAGCCCCCCCCAACCGCGCATTAACTCGCATCCCATTGTACTCGTATCGCGCGCTAACTTCCCATCCCATCGCGGACAGAGAAATATATAAAATGAAGTGACGCGGCACAAACGGGGTACACCAAAAGGCACGGGCTGCCTGCACTGACGGCGTTCACTCGAACGCCATGCACATGGCGCGGAGCAGCATCGGGTTGGTGTCGAACCCGAGCGGGTCCTCCTCCGCTCCTCCCAATCCCGGCGCCCACCCTTCGCGTCGTCCTGCTCATCGTGCGCGTCGAGCACCCTGCCGAGGCACAGGCTGGGTTCACAGCGAGTCTGGTCTCGGCGGTCGTCGCCTCGTCCGATTCGCGCCTTCGCACTGGCACTATTGTAGCCCTGGCCGGTGCGCGTGCGAAGTTGAAGTTCCCGAGTAAAACATCGAACGCGTTCTCTCACGGTGACCAAAAAATGTCCAGCTCAGAGGCACCTCCGGAGGCAGGCCGCCGCACGCCGGCGACACAGCTCCAGCTGTCGAACTGACCCGCAGCTCCTCTCAGAGCGGGAACTGTGACGAAAGTTGAATGAGGCGGTTGTCAGGAATCATCATACGGATCACATGGTGGCTCTCTGATGACGGGATACCGCCCGACCACTCCTGGGTGGCACTGCCACCGGTGTCGCTCGACATCCTGTCGACAGCGTGCCGACAGCGACACAGACCATGTGGGACGCGTCGAGTATCGACCTCTTCTGCTTACCCAGCCTTCGAGTGTATCCTGGCTGTGGTCCCACACCCACTGGTGTCCATCTCAGAGACCGCAGGAGGTCATGAGGGTCGATGGGAGTTATGAGTGCCAACCCCACAATGCCTAAAAACCCAGCCCAGTATGGAGGACCCGTCGCCAGAGTGACGACGCAGGGCAGACGATGTGGAGGCGGAGCAGACGCGCAGGGCGAGACGAGGGAGGGAGCAGGAATTTGCGGAGATCAGCAGGACGATGGGAGTGCCCAACCCCACAATGCCCGGCCTAAAAACCCAGCCCAGTACCGCCCTCTTCTCTCTCTCACCGTCTCGCCGTTGCCGTCGAAAAGAGACAACCATTGTTGGACGACAGACGCTAAAGTGTAAAGTCGCGCTACACTTACGTACGGCTTGGTACAGCCTACACAGCAACCCGACGACGCTACACCGTTGCCGCATACTTAGAGAAGACTGGAGGTCACAGCACATACGTCAGTACTCTCCTCATCGTCTTGACGGTGGCACGTACAGCGCCGCCGCCTCCGCCGTGGCCCGTTGCCGCTTCGGGGGAGCCGCAGCCTCTGCGTGCTCCCCGGAAGCTGCAGGCGCGGTGGCCTCGGCGCACTGCTCATCGCGCGGCGGCGGCGGCCGTTTGCCGGACACCTCCGAGGCGTTTCCCGTCTGCCTGCCACGGACGGCGCCCAGCAGCGCGGCGCCGAACAGTCGTTGAGACAGCGGGGCGCCGCTCGTCGACGCGCCGCCGCTGCTCGCGGCTCCATCGCCGCCAGTTCCGTCGCCCCTGCCACCCCTGCCAACCCCGCCGCGGCCTCTTGAGCTGCTGCTGCTGGCAGAGAATTTGCCCGGCCGCGAGTCGTCCTCGCCGTCGGCAAAGGCCTCGTCGACAGAGATCTCAACGCGCAGCCCGCACTCCGAGGCGAGCCGCAGGATCTCCGCCCTGGCTGCCGCCCGCCGCTCCGCCAAGCTCTGCGTTGGCCGCGCCGGCGCCGCGCCGCTCGCCTCGATCCGCGTGTTTGTCCGCGCGAGCGAGTTGAGCATCCGCGCGAGAAACTTTGTGTTGACGCGGAGCAGCCTCTCCTCCTCCTCCTCGTCGTCGTCGGAGAGCGTCCACTCGGGCTGCTCTACGCCGTCGACAGGCCCCGAGGTCCCGGCGCCGTGCGCCTCGCTCGCGCGGGCCCGCGCCAGATCCAGAGTGAGCGGCAGATTCTGCTGCGCGATCGCGCTCTCGATCGCGGCCTTGAAGGTCGAGCGCATGCGCCGACTGTACAGAGCACCGGAAGAATTTTATCACGGTTCTCGAGGTTCTCGAGGTGGATATCCGCGCCGCCAGCCGCGGAGCCGGCGCCCAAGACGTACGCCGCCGCAGCCGCATCGCAGCCGCAGGGTGCCACCGCGGGTGGCCAGCCCGCCGCGCCTGCGGGCCCGGCCGCCGCCGCGCGCGTGCCGCCGCCGCCCAGCGGCGGCGGAGTGCGCGGCTGCTCCTTCACTGTCCCTAACCCGGGCAGGAAGCGTGGGCAGCAGCAGCGCGGCAAGGGCCGCGGTGCCAGGGGCCGTGCCGATGCTGGACCCCGTCTCGTTGACAAGAACGCGCTGTCCGCGCGCGGCAGCGGGCCCTCGCGCCAGTCGCGCTCGCCGTCGCCCGACTCTCCGCCCGCCAAGCGGGCCGCCTCCGCTGACTCGTCCGGCTATGAAACCGATACGCCGGACGAGGTGCAGCAGGAGGCGGTCCGCAGGGTATGCGGCGCGCTCGGCATGAGGGAGCAGTTCGAGGCGGCGATGGCGGCGGGCGAGCTGCTCGAGCTGCTCGAGAGCTTGCCGCGAGGGGCGGTCGAGGCCTCCGTTCGGCTGATGCGCGGTTACAACCGCACGGGCGAGTGGCCAGAGCCCATCCTCACCAGCCCTGCCCCGCAGCGCGGCCGCTCGCCAAGCCCCGTCGATGAGTGGTCAGATGGTTAGTGCCCGAGAGCCAAATTTGAGGTTGCTCGAGAGAGCCTGGAAATGGTCCCGCGCCGTTGCCCCGTTGCCGGCGCATCACGTCTCAGCCGCGATGGGCCGGTTCTGCCGCGTAGTCGAGCAGCAGGAGCTCGGAGGCAACTTTGTCGACAAACTGGTCGAGCCAAAAATTGGCGAGGAAGCGGCACCGGTACGCGGCTGCAAGTGCAGCCGCCTATGTTGGCCAAGATAGGCGGCTGCACGTGTGGGCGCGAGTACCGCTATACGCGTCTGCACGTGTGGCCGCGTATCTTGGCTAAGATACGCGCCGGCACAGAATGACACGTATCAGCCCCGCGCCGAGCTCGATGCGCGGCAGCGGGTGAGGGCGGCTATTCTCCCCCGAGGCAGGCGAGGATACACAGTCCCTCGTGTCGCGCGTGTAAGTCCCGGTTGCCGTGCGCGCCAGCGCGTGTGGCCGCGTACCTTAGCTAAGATACGCGCGCACGGGCGTGGGTGGGTAAAAACGGGTCACTTTGCGGGGTTTGCCGACAGCTTGCAGAGCTCCCGGAAAGGCAACATTTCGTAACGATGGTCGCTAAACGACACGCTATTGGCCATCTGCCTCCTGCAGCCTCTGTTGGGGTGGAATGCGTGGGGTTTTCGGCGCGATGCCTCCGGCGAGTATACGGTACTGCTCTGCCGCAAGCTCTCCTGCGCGCGCGTGACGTGTGGGGCGCGTGCACTGCGCTCGAAAGTCGCGATTTGGCAATAGGCGCTCGAGCCGGCGCGCAGTGGAAGGGGGCGCCGCGCAGGGGGGTCGGGGGGGTGCGAGGGGGGGCGTGGGTCGGGCGCGCACCGGCCGGCTCCGAGAGCGGCCGTCACGTCGAAGAGGGGGGCTGGTGCTGCTCGAATGACGAGGCGTGCCGCTCTGCTGCGCTGCCGACAGCCCCTCTTCCGAGCCGGCGCGTGGCGGCGAGCCGCGGCCAGTGTCGCTGGTGCGGTGGCGGCGCAGCGTGCATCGGCCGGCGGCGAGAGCGGCCTTCACGTCGATGAGGGGGGGTTGTCGGCGACTCGTGTGGCTCGAGGCCTACGCTGCGCCGCCCGAGCCCTACTGCCGATCCAGCGCCTGGCGTTTGGGGCGAGCCGCGGTCGTCGTCGCTGATGGTATGGCGGCGGCGGCGGCGGCTCGCCCTTCCCTCCGCAATTCCGATCCCGCCGCGCTCGCGGGAGGTCGCGCGTATATATAGACAGCAACGGCTATCCGTGCTGCTGTGCGCCCCCTGGTGCGTGGTTGCTTTCAAGTTCTTAGATCACAACCCAAGGATGATATAATAAGGCAAAAAGATTGGTTGCGCCTTGCCGATCCGCACCTACCTAGGCTCTTGGGTGGCGCGCCCACTCTTCACAACGAACCTGGTTGCTTCGGCGTCTCGACACCTCCACTGACCAAACCCCTCCCCGTCACCGGCGGCGCCCCAGCCAACGGCGCGGCGAACTCATGCTCGCAATGACTTCGCTCGTCGCGCCGCTGCTGCTCGCGCGCACACCGCCCATCAAGGAGCGATCGTCGTGCCCACACATGCCACCGACGTCCGGGCCAAGCATGGCTCGCGACACGCTCAACTTCTGCCACGTCCTCATGCGCGCGCGCCGCCTCGGGCTCTCCAACTCGTCGCTCTTTGTCGACGTGGGCGCGGACGTGGGCACCGAGGCGCGCCTCGCGCGCGGCTTCGGCCACCCGGTCGTGAGCTTCGAGTGCCGAGGCGCCCATTGGCTAAAAATGTCATCGCGCCCGGCCTTTGCAGACGACGCCGGGATGCGCCTGGTGCATGCGTGCGTGAGCGACCGCAACGGCCTGGGCGTGCTGCACAAGGCGATGGACTCCAGCAGTATGATGAAATCGTCGGTGCAGGACCCAGGCGCGGCGTGGAAGGCGCGGCGCGAGCAGCGCTCCGGCGGAGCGGGCAGCGGCGGCGCCGCCGGCGCGACCGAGCCTGTACCCGTGGTCACGCTCGACAGCGCCGTCGGCGCCGCGTCGATCGCGGCGCTCTGGCCAGGCCTCGCACACGCGCGCGTAGGCTTCGTCAAGATCGACGTCCAGGGCGTCGAAGGCGCCGTGCTCACGGGCGCGCTCGGCGTACTGCGCGAGCACGCGCCGTTTATCTTCTATGAGGACTCGATGCTTCCGACAGAGGACCGGAAGGGCGTGCTGCTCGCGCGGCTGCTCGCGCCCTCGGGCGGGCTCTCGTATGTGTGCGAGTGCGACAACGACTGCTTCTGCCAGCCGACTGGTGGCCGCCGAGGACCGAGGGGCTGAGTGAGTGAGGCGGGTCGCGGCGAGACGGAGGTGAGCAGGCTCGTGCCATGGCTCGTGCCATGGCTCGTGCATGTCTGGTGTCGGTCGTGTCTCGTGTGGCGCTTGGGCGTGTGAGCAGCCACAGAGAGAGAGCGCGCGCGAACGAGCAGCAGCACACACGCTCGCTGCCACTCGTCCGACCCCGGTGAGCGCGCATCCTCCGATGGAGGACGGGCTGCTCGCGCTGCCGCCGCTGCCTACTCCAAACCCGATCCGCTTCAAGCAGTGGGCGCTCGGCGGCTTCGTTGTCGGCTCGATCATCCTGGTCAATGCTTCCACCACGGCGTACACGGTGATTTACGACTCTCCATCAAGGGCCGCCCGCGCGAGGACGCGCGTGCCCTCCATACACAGAGTACTTTCCTGGATCCCTCTCGCACCCCCCCGACCCCCCCTGCGCGGCGCACCCGTCCGCTGCGCGCCGGCTCAAGCGCCTATTGCCAAATCGCGACGTATTTGAGCGCAGCGCACGCATCCCAGATCCCACACATCACGCGCGCGCAGGAGAGCTTGCGGCGGACACGTAGCGTGTACTCGCCGAGGGCATCCAGCTTCCAGGGAGTCGGCCGGCGCGAGCGACGGCCGCCGAGCTTTAGGTCGCCGACATACAGCGAATATTGTGCACCGAACGCATACTAATGAGGGGGGGGTCCGACCCCCCACGACGGGACATGTGCGGGACGTGTCCCAGGCCGGCTTGCTTTTCCAACGACTTTAGTCGTTGTCAGTGTGTGAAGTTCAACAGGGTTTATAAACTTTTGGTGTTTATAAACACGGTGTTTATGAACCCGTGTTTAATTGAACACCGCGCCGCTGGCGACCGCCCCGATAAATGAACTAAACAAACAATTTACATCGTTCATAAACTTTTTAAGCAGAAACTCGAAAAAACGGCGCACAACCATACCTCGCGCGCGTGTCCGTGTGTATACGGAGCAGGGACTCCTGTCGCGCCTGGGAATCATACGCGAACGTGGGGGAACTCTTCCCAATCAGGACCCCCCCCCCCCCCCCCGCCGCCGCCACCTCTTTCAGTCCGCGTCCACATCCACGGCCGAGGAGGAGGAGCCCGCACCCTTGGACTTGTTCTGCGCCATCAGCGCCATGCGGTAGGCCTGCGCCGCGTCGACCGGGTCCATGCCCAGCTCAGCCGGCGAGAAGCCCGCGTCGATCATCTCCTTGAGCCCTTTGGCCGTCTCCTGCTCGGTGAGGCTGGGCGGCGTGTCGCGCACCACGGTGTGCTGGAACTGCTCGTTGAGCTGCTCGCGGTAGATCTTGCGGTACTTCATGATCCTGACGTGTGCGAGCGCCTTGGTGGAGAGCCAGGTGCCGCCGAGCTTGTTCTTGGTCAGCTTCAGCGGCGTGTTGCACGGCTTGCCGTCCGAGTCGCGCCGCAGCACGCAGACGTGCGTGAAGCCCTTGGCGATGAGCGGCGCGCTGCGCCGCCCGCCCGGCAGCAGGCGCAGGAACTGCTTCTCCGTCCAGATCGCGGCTGTCGGCGCGCGCTTGCCTGGCGTGTTGGGTCCGACGTTCGACGGCGTGAAGGGGTCGTGCCGCTCCGCGGCGGCCACTGGCGAGCCAGGCGCGTCTGCCATTCGCGATTCTCGCGATTCCGATTCCAAATCTCAATGCCAAAATTAAGGCTCTGCATTCACGGCAATAGGGACACCCTTCCCATTCTGATGCAGCGTCTTCGTGCTGCCGGGCTCGCGCGGCCGGCAGCGGATGATCTGCCTGGGTATCATGACCTCCTCTCGGGCCTTGCTATCTGGGCAGCCGCGGCCCGAGAGAATAGAATTCAGGTTTCGTCCCCCCAGCTGGTCCAGCGTCCGTCCCTCCGAAAGACAAGAGTTAATGCGTGAACAGGGACGAGCGACCGATCGAAGAGGGACGCGCGAACGAACAGGGCCCTGTTTATTGAGTTTATGATTGAGGTTTATCAGTTCAAATAAACGCGCGTTTAATTGAACTTCACGCGGGAGCGGGCGATCCTGTTAAATAGTCTTAAATAGTCGTGAACCAGGTGTGTTTATAAACTCTTAGTTAGTCCGTGTTTATAACATTCACACACTGGTCGTTGTTTGCTTTTACAACGACTCAGTCGTTGTCCCGCGTCTCACTGTGGCTCGTGCGCTGCAGTCTCTCGCTGTGTCCGTCGGCTTGTTTGTGATGTCGCAGGATGGCGATGGGGAGAGCCAGACGGACTCGGGAGGCGAGGAGGAGCGCCTTAGCGAGAAGGTGCTCTACGACCTGCAGAGCAGCAAAGGCGTCACCGCGCTGTTGTACGCTGCCCGCCACGGCCACGAGCGGGTGGTCGATTTGCTGCTGCAGCACGGCGCGGAGATCAATCTGCAGAGCAGCAAAGGCGTCACCGCGCTGATGTACGCCGCCAACTGCGGCCACGAGCGGGTGGGCGAGCTGCTGCTCCGGCACGGCGCGGAGATCAACCTGCAGGACAGCATCGGCATCACCGCGCTGATAAGCGCCGCCAGCAACGGCCACGAGCGGGTGGTCGAGCTGCTGATACGGCGCGGCGCTGAGATCAACCTGCAGAGTAGCGACGGCGTCACCGCGCTGATGGCCGCCGCCCTCTTCAACCACCCCGCCGTCGTGCGGCGCTTGCTGCAGGCGGGCGCAGACACCGCGGCGCGCAGTGCGAAAGGCAAGACGGCGCTGCAGCTGGCCAAGAAGAAGGGCCACGCCGAGTGCATCATGGTCTTGGCTGAGGCGGCGGCGGCTGCACACGGCCGGGCAGGGGCGGGCGGCGCTTCCTCGGGCGCGAAGGCGGCAGCTGAAGACGCGCCGCTGCTCGGACAGCGAGTCGTGCTCGGCGGCCTCTCTGCCCGCCCCGAGCTGAACGGGCGGCTGGGCGTGGCGCAGAGCTTCGAGGGCGGGCGGTACGCGGTGGCGCTCGAGGGCGGCGGCGAGAGCGTGCGGGTGCGGCCGGGCAATCTGTCGCCAGCGGCGGCGGAGCGGGCGTCGAGCGGTGCCGCGGCAGCCCCCGATGCGGTCGTGACAGCGGCTGAGCGAGGCGAGGAGTCGGCACTCGATGTGGTCACACTCTCAGGCATGGTGGTCGTTGGCGAGCCGGTGAAAGCCGAGCCATGCTTCACGGCGAGCCGCGAGTTCCAGCGGGCGGAGGCGATGGCACACGTGCAGCAGGCGCGCGTACACGCGTATGAGCGCGCGATTCGTGACAGTGGCGACGGTTCAGTGCCGGGGGGGCTAGGTGGAGGAGCGGCGGGAACACACTCCGCGCGCCAGTGGCTCTCGGCCAAAGTGGCCAATGCTGTCCGGCACGACGCCGAGCAGTTCGGCATGTCCGGCGGTGAGAGCTCGACGGCGCTCACCGGCGAGCGTGTCGGGCGGGCGCGTGAGCTCGGATGCTAGCAAGCACGATAGCAGAACACAATGTGTGTCCTTCACTGCCTGTCACACACGGCCGACTCCAACTACCCAGCTGCCCTGCCCAGGAGACCCAAGTGGCATCTCATCTGTAGATGGACCGCTGCAATGTGCAAGAATGTGCACAGCTAGGGGTGCAGCTGCAGGGCGACGTGGAGGAGAGGAGAATTCACAAGGGGAGTCACAACGATCTGGCATGTCATGGGCTCGTATGAGAGGTGTATTTCTTTTTCGTACCTGTGTTAGTGCCAGTGCGCGCCAGTCCCGTGCCCAGTGTTGTGCGAGGGAGTTTTGTTGTAAAATTCTTTTTCGTTAGACAGGGTTCGTGAGTGAATTTTCACACTTTCACTTTCACATGTGAATTCATGTGAATTTCACATGAAACGTTTCGGCCGCCCCCGTTTCACTGAAAATTTCACAAGTTCGACTACTTTCGAAGGCCCTGGCATCTCCGAGGCGGCAGCGGCGGAGGCGGCAGCAGTCGAGGCAGCAGCGGCGGAGGCGGCAGCGGAGAGAGCGGCGGTGCGCCTACCACTGCCGGCACCGGTAGGGATCTCTGTGCCACCAATGCCGCGCGTTCCTGCTTCCCTGCAGCGAGGCCGTGGTCAAGGCCGTGGTCGTCCCCAAGGCTCAAAGAACAGGGGCCCGCCCTCACTGCATCAAAACGCGGTGTTTGAAAGCGAGGAAGTGTAGAAAGGAAAGAGCCCACAATAACTAGTGAGAGGAGGTGCAGCTTGGTTCGTGTCCTCGGGCGCTCGAGGACGTGTGTGTTGCCGCAATGTTCTTTTAATGCGCGCCCCCGCCGAAATACACTGCAAATACACCATACACGCGAGATGCGTCGGCAGCGACGCGCACGACCTCTTAAGAAGCACCGTGTCGTTAGGGTTAGGGTTAGGGTTAGGGTTAGGGTCAGAGAGCGTTCAAGCCGTTGTGCAGCTCCTAAGAGAATGGTCCGGTTTGGGCCGAAACCAAATGGCGGAATCAGCGGTCCGTCGACACGAGCTCTCGGTGAACGCTTTGGGTTCTTCGGGCTAGGGTTAGGGTTGGGGTTAGGGTTAGGGTTAGGGTTAGGGTTAGGGTAAGGGGTTGGTTGTCGTCGCGCGCTCTCGATATCTGGCTAAGACAGAGACACAGCAGCAGAGGCGACCCAAGCGACACATCAGAGCATGGATGCTTGGGGGCGCGAGCCGCCATCTTGGACTGTGAGGCGAGTATTTGCAACCGGGAGCTCGCCGCCGCCCCTACACCGCCGCCGCCGCCCTCCCGGTGGCAAATAATAGCCCAAGTCGAAGAGTGCGCCCCGCCCTCGGTATCTGGGCGGCAGGCGGGACTAGAGAGGCACGAGTATTTGCAACCGGGAGCTCGCCGCCGCCCCTACACCGCCGCCGCCGCCCTCCCGGTGGCAAATAATAGCCAAGTCGAAGAGTGCGCCCCGCCCTCGGTATCTGGGCGGCAGGCGGGACTAGAGTGGCACGCTGGTGCACGGATGGGGGCGCGAGCCGCCATCTTGGACTGTGAGGCGAGTATTTGCAACCGGGAGCTCGCCGCCGCCCCTACACCGCCGCCGCCACCCTCCCGGTGGCAAATAATAGCCCAAGTCGAAGAGTGCGCCCCGCCCTCGGTATCTGTGTCCGCTCTCAAAAATGCGGCTTTCGCAGCGCTCCCCTGGGGAAGGCGGAGAGAGAGAGCGTGCCAAAAACCTCGGACATTTTACGAACTCCTTGGCGACGTGCGCGTCGCGTCGCCAAGGCTCTGCGACCTCGGTCGTACAATCGGCGACCTCGGTCGCACAACCGGCCGGATGCGCGGGTTTTCAGCCAGGTTCCCGCGCACCGGCCACAAACTCGACTCGCACAGCAAAAAAATCCGGTGCTCGCGCGCTGCTCCCACGCTTGACCACACACTCGCTGCACTGCTCAAAGCCAACCCTACCTCACTGGCCGCCTCCAACACTGTCCCGCGCGTCTCGCGCCCCAACTGACAACTCATCTCCCGCGCACCGGCCACGAACTCGACTCGCACAGCAAAAAAATCCGGTGCTCGGGCGCCGCTCCCACGCTTGACTACACACTCGCTGCACTGCTCAAAGCCAACCCTACCTCACTGGCCGCCTCCGACACTGTCCCGCGCGTCTCGCGCCCCAACTGACAACTCATCATTGTCCCTCGGACACCACTCTCCAGCCGCGCTACCTTCGCCCACCTACCGCTCTCGCATGACATCTCGACAATCCTCATACCTCCAGGCCCAAGACTCCTAACCACTGCCCCTGCTCGCCCAGGACCACGAAGCGCCGCCCGCGCGCCCATTGACCCCCCAATCAGCCCTCTTGCTGTCCCTCAATCCCCACCCGCCAGATGTACTGCCCTCGCCCACCCAATACTCTCACCCTCCTGACCCGGACAGTCCAGGTACAGGAAAAGCGGGGAGCGGGGCCCGATCCAAGGAGCACCCCGTCGGCCCGGGAGGGCTGTGAATTTCGGCGCGAGCGGAAGGCTGCCTGCAGACGCTCAGCCCCCGGCTGAGCTGCCGAATCCTCCCGGCTAATCCCCTGACCTGCCGCCTGAAACGGGACGACATTACACCACCTCACACACACTCCCCCCTCAGGGCTAAGCAGTGCGCAAGTCCACCCGAACTCTAGGCGAGGCGTCGACCACTCCTTCGGAATAGCTCTGTCAGTGGCTGCACTAGACGCCCAGAGATGGCGCGCGGCGCGGGCGGATGACTGGAAGAGAAAATGCTGAGAGGCTAGCTCGCAGGTAGATGTGCTCAGCCAAGGGTAGGGGATGAGGGGAATGTGTCAGTGTGGGGGGTGCACCAACCGCAGAGCGTTGTGTTTTGCCTTTAAGACTTGAACAGTTTTTTGAGAGAGAGAGCGTGGAGTAGAGTCTGGAGTGAGTCTGCCGGTGCGTGGTGAGCTGGTGCGTGGTGGCGATGGCGGCGTTCCAAGAGAACGATTGCGCGTCTCTTTCAAGATTCCTGTCAGGCGCGAGACGCGCAGGCCCGCGCACCAGATAAAGTACGTGCTTCCCCGCGAGAAAGATTTTTAGAGCATAGAGGACTCCTCATCTCCTCTTCTTCTCTGATCTCTCCTCCGCTACACGCTACACCTCCCAAACCAGCGTCTTCTGCCTCGCCACGGCCAGAATGTTGCTGCGCGCGTCCGCCTGCAGCTCGGCCGGGTACCAGACACCGGGACCGATCGTCGGGTCGCCCGTGGCGCCCTTTCCTCGCAGCAGCTCCATCCCGAACGCGGCCGTGGCCTGGCCGACGCAATCCTCGAGGTCCTTGTGCGCGCATCGCAGCGTTACCTTGGTGCCGTCCTTACCCCACGCGTCCACGCGCATGGCGTTGGTGCCGCCCACAAGCGCGTCCACGGCGCGGATGATCGGCATCGAAAAGATGGCGAGCCCCTGCATCTTGCCGCGATCCATGAGCAGCGAGGTCGGCAGCGCCGCCTTGAGCCCACCAAAGAGGCCATTCCAGAACGAAGGGTACGTGCCGAAGCGCGAGACGCAGCTCTGAATGCCGAGGGCCTCGGCGGTGGTGGGGACGTCGGGGTTGTCGAGCGTGTAGCACTCGTGCTCCCCAACGCCCTCGCCGAAGTCGCGGACCTGCCGATCGAGCCACGGCTCCTCCTCGACGAGCTCGCCGTCCACGTACATGGCCACCTTGGTTGCAAGCAGCAGGAACGTGGCCGAAACGATCGTCGGGCCGGCTCCCCCGGTGCCGGCCGTGAAGAAGCTAAACTCCAGCCTTTCGCACGCACCCGTTCCGCCCAGCTTGTTGACCGCCTCCGCCGCCATCAGCGCCGACACACCCGGCCAGATGCCGCACGACACGACGCACGGCACGCCCGCCGCCGCCGCGTCCGCGTCCAGTGCCTTGGCGTTGCGTGCCAGCTGCAACTCGTCGCAGACGTCGCAATACGGAACGCCGGCCTTGATCGCTGCCCGCATCAGCGCCGGGTCGGTTCGCTGCTGAAAGGGCCCGGCCGTGTGCACCACGAGCGAGCTCCCGGCCACGGCCTCGGCCAGAGCCACGTCGCCACCGTCCAAATCTACCTGCACAAACTCGCATTGCGCCGGAAGGCGTGACCGGGCCGCCTGAAAGCTCTGCTCCGAGCGCCCGCCAACCGAGAGCTCCAGCGACGGCGCAAGCTTGCTCAGCCACTTGAGGGTGCTTCCGCCCACCCGGCCGCTGCCGCCGACGACAAGCACTCCGCCACTCACGGCGGCGGCCGAGCACGCGCACAGTGCGAGGCAGAGGCTGCCCAACATCGCTCGATGGCCCAAAGAATTCTTTTGGGAACCGCCACCCGCCACGCTCACTGTCCCCCCCCCCCCAGTCCGTACCCGACTCCGCTGTGAACCTCGCGGGGGCTCGGGTCTCACCTGCTGATTGATTGATTGATGGGAAGGCGAAACACCTGCTCCTCATCTGTCTCTTCCCACAGTAGGAGCTGTGAAGCGCTGCGCCGCTCAACCAATTCTCAGCGACCAACGCCGTCCTGCGCGTGCGTTCCCCCTTTACGCAACATGGCTGACTCAACAAGAGGGCGCGGCCGCGTCGCTATCGTTGGCGGCGGCCCGAGTGGCCTCGTGGCTGCCAAGGAGGCGCTGGCCGCGGGGCTACGTCCGACCGTCCTCGAAAAGTCGAGCAGTGCTGGCGGCCTCTGGCGTGCCGCTGATGGCAAGGTGTGGCAGTCGCTACGAACAAACTTGTCGAAGCACACGTGCGCCTTCTCAGACTTTCCGTGGCCGTCTACAGCAGACGACTTTCCGCATGCCGAAGACGTCGCCGACTACTTGGAGCGTTACGCTCGGACATTCGGTCTCCACGCATGTATCGAACTCGGAGCGCGGGTCACGTTGGTGCAGCGGGCGTCGTTCGGGCGTGGATACTGCGTGCGCTGGGTATCCCAGGGTGGAACCGAGCAAGCGGAGACGTTCGAATTTGCGATCATTGCGGCTGGTGTCTTTTCTGCCCCTCACGTGCCGGCAGAGCTCCACGGCTTCCAGAACCAGGTTGTCCACGCCTCGCAGTACCGCGATTCGAGCGACTTTGCGGGGCGCCGATGCCTGGTGCTGGGAGCTGCATTCAGTGGAGCCGACGCCGCCGCATCGATTGCGCGTGTCGCCGAGTCCGTCACGCTCGTAGCATCCGGCACGGCTCCTCTCTATTACCTTCCCCGCCTCGTCGACGGGCGACCCATCGACCTCGCGCTGTACTCGCGTGCGGCTCGAGATGCGGCCAAGAGACTCTCCGAAGCTGAGGCTTGCGCGAGCCGCCACGCAGCCCTTGCGCGGCTAGGTGGCAGGCTCGAAGGGCTGCCGTCGCCTCGTACTGACCGTAAGCCACGCGTGGCCATCACGGATGAGCTGAGCCGCGCTGTGAGCGCGGGGCTCCTGAGCGTTCAGACCGCGCGCGTGCGCGCCTGTGAGCGCGGCTGGGTGACTTTCGAGGACGGCAGGCGCGCGGAGTTTGATGTCATCTTGGCGGCGACCGGATATCGCACTGCCGTCAACTTCCTCGCGCCCGCCCTGTCGGAGGCGGTCGAGTACGACGCCGATGACTGGCTGCAGCCTCTGATTGCGCACGAGTGCGTCTGGCCCGCCGCCCCCAACTTGGCATTCGTCGGGATGTACCGCGGGCCATACTTCGGTGTGCTCGAGCTGCAGGCGCGTTGGGCTTGCGGCGTGTTTGCTGGCCGCCTGCCGATGCCGAGCGCGGGCGAGCTTGCCGATGGCCTCGCACGCGAGCGTGCCATTCGGCAGATGGATCCACGCCCGCAGTTCCCGCACGATTACCCGACCATGGCGGACGACCTCGCTCGCCACGTCGGCGCGCTGCCCGTCACCATCTTGCAAGACAGCGCGCATCCGCTGCACGCCCTCCTCTATCACGGCCCGTTGCTGCCGTTCCACTACCGCTTGCAGGGCCGCCAAGCCAACCCCCGGCTTGCCGAGGCCGCCATTCGCGAGTGTGAGCGGTCCTACCCTCACCTGGTCGCGAACGACGCCGCAGCCGATGGCACGGATCCCGAAGAAGCCAAGGCGGAAAACACATCGCAAGCAGCGTGTTGAGAGCTCACGTATGCGTTTATATGGCTGCGCGCCTGTACACACGGTATACCTAAAAATACTTATTGCACACGCGGAAGACCGCGCACTCACCGCCTACCGGGCCTGCGCTCCTTTTTTCGGGAACGAACACCGCTTATTTTTTCGGATCACTCATCACTCGTCCGGGTGTACTTGCCAATTATGGTGCCGTCCTTCTTCGGACCCGTCACCCGCCAGGTGATCGCAAACGCGGCGTCCGACTCGAACGCAAAGACTCCACGATATGTGTCGGGATCACAGAGATGCACAAAGGGTGGCGGGTCCACCCGCGGGTCGTCTGCCAGGTCGATCGCGTGGAAGAAGCGGGAGCTTGCCAAGATGGACTCGGGATCGCGTGCCAGCGCCTCGTCAAAGTGCACCTTCACAGGTGCGGTGGTCAGGTCCCACAGCAGACGTTTGGTCGCCGCGATGCTCTGTCTGCCGCCAAGGGTTGCCATGCCCTCCTCGAGGTAGGTCAAGCGCACGCCGCCATCCGCGCACCGCAACGGCTCGAAGGTGGCCTTGCCTGCAAAGCTCCCAGAGGCGCCACCGCCAGGTGTGTAGTCCATAGCCTTGGTCAGCTGCCAGCGCCCGCGGAGGTAATCGTACATCGCCTCCGCGGTTCGTGGGCGCATGGCCTTGACGGACATGGAGCTGCAGAGGAGCAAGCCGACGAGCTGCCTCCGCGTGCGCAAGAGCATGCACGGCCAACGACACCGGCCGAGCACGCGCAGAGCGTCTGGCCGACGCGAGATCAAAGGAAAAAGAATTTATTGATCCAAAACACGATTTTCCCCACCAGACTGCGAAGAGAGATCGGAAGAGGCAGACTCCCTAGGGTGGGCGACGGCTAGCGCACCACACACCTCTCCTTAAAATCCCTGTGTGGTGGCGGCGTGCCGTCCTCCCATCCCTCCCTTGGGTTGTCTGTTTTCTTTCTTTCTTTTTCTTCCCCACCTAAGTCGGTCGCACGACACGATTCACGCATTAAAATCCCTGTGTGGTGGCGGCGTGCTGTTCTCCCATCCCTCCCTTGCCTGCCCGTTTTTCGTTCTTTCGGGGGACACGATTCACGCGACAGGCGAGGCGCGGGCGACGGCTTCCTCAGAAGCCGTCGCCCGCACCACAGGAGCAGTCACACCACTCCCACCCCGGCGCCCACCCACTCTCCCCCCCGACATCCCCACCCCACCCCACAACCCCGCCCCCCCCGACCCGAGCAACCCCGCCCCAACCCGACCCGACCCGATCCACCCCGCCCCGCCCCGCCCCGCCCCCCCAGTAAGCTAAAAGTACGTACACTGTGTGTGTGTGTGTGTGTGTGTGTGTGTGTGTGTGTGTGTGTGTGTGAGAGAGAGAGAGAGAGAGAGAGAGAGAGAGTGAAAACAATGCGCTAATTACCGCAAACCCGGAGGGGTGATGGGATGCTGTCTCGGCGGTCTCAGGCCCAGTGAGGTAGTGCGCCAGACTATCCCAGATCCTGCTGACCAAGCTCCTCTTGTAGCTCGATCGGTCACACCGCCATCGCCGTCGGGGAGAGGGGGGACGACACTGCTTCGGCAGCGTGCACCTCGATCCAGTACCGTGTTTGTTATGACCCCCCCCCAATGAACATACCAGTGAGGGAGGGCGAGACGATCGAGGGGTCCCGTACCACGCGGAATCGGCCCTATCCAGTGCTCAAGTGCTCAATTACCGATTCTCCTGAAGCCGAACACAACAACGTCCGGAGAAGCGACGGTCCGCTGCGCCAGAGTGCCCTGGCGCAGAACCTATGCATCTCTCGTGCTTGCGTCCCAGAGTGCCCTCGCGCACGTCGCACGCATGCATTTCAACAAACAAGCAGCCTCTAGCCCTCATGGTCGAATCGCGCAAGCTCTAGCCCCATTGCTCGACGCGGAAGTGCAGACAGGCCCGGCCATCTGCATCTCTCGCAAGCACCGCAGATCCTCTCCTCCCCAACCTACCACCGTTATGGGTGTTGCCGCGCTGCTCCTTCTTGCCATTGCGGTCAGAGTCCATACGGCAGGCTGGGCGAGGGCAGACGAAGCCACCACGCTGTGGTTTGTGCCCGACGATCTCTCCAACACGTCGAGTTGCGACTCGCTCGGCATGGAGAGGGTTGAATTGTACCGGGCGGTCCTCCGAGTCAATGACAGCTATGCGACGGGGGCGAGCGAGGACGTCTTCTTCCCTCTCTTTTCGTCACACCCTCTCCCAGGCCCTGCCCCCGACTCAGACTTGGAGGCGGACCCTGCTGTGAGGGTAGGTATGATCTTCGTCCATGGTGCGCTCCGCAATGCGAACGCGTACTTTTGTGAGGGGTCCAGTGCCGTTGCCAGCCGCGGGGGCGACGTGAAGGCACGCACGCTCGTTGTCGCGCCGTGGTATGGCACTGAGCAGCTAAGCGCGGAGGAGTGGATGGGACGCGGCAATGGCACCTCCACTCGTTGGACAAACAACAGCTGGATTCAAGGGGGAGTGCGTGGCACACACACCCCAACACGCAAGAGATGTTGCAACGCCTCCCACCTGCCCTGCGCAAACGCCGGAATTTGCCGCCAAAAGCGCCTCGCTCGTTGCACCCCGCAGGACACGCGCGGCAAGCCGAAGCGCTTCTCGACCTCGTTCGACATCATGGATCAGCTCGTACGCCTGCTCCTCGATGGCGCTCCGCTTGTGGACGGGGCAAAGCTTTACCCTCGTCTAGACCACGTCGTCATTGTTGGCTTCAGTGCTGGCGCGCAGGAACCCGGCGGAAACGGGGGCTCTCACGCGGAGACATCGCCAGCGCACCAACTGCGAACGCCCCCACGTAGCAGTTCGCGTTCCGCTACTCCTTCTTCGCCGCGCTTGACACCCGCGTGCGCTACTTGCTCTCCGATGCCGCAACGTGGATGTACTTTTCACCCGAGCGCCCGGCGCCCCGCTGCACGCTGCTCCACGACTCGGGAGTGTCTCATGCCTGCGTCGAGTTCGGCGAGCCAGACGTTGAGGAGTGCACTGGCTATAACAACTACAAGTACATTTCCTCTCCTTTCTCCCCTCTGCGCGCCCATGGATTGAGGATGCCCGTCGTCACAGGTATGGGCTGGGCAACCTGTCCAGCAGCGAGAGCAGGTACGTAGAAAGATTTGCGGACGACCAAGGCCTCCTGGACGACGCCGTCGAACTGTGGGCCGACAAAGATGTCCGCTTCGTGTTTGGACAACATGACACGTGCAACGCCCAGTCAAACGGCTACGACAACGCACGATCGTGCTTCCAGAGGGACGCTGGGTGCTATCCCGTCTCGGGCGACGTGGCTTTGCGCGAAATGAACCTCACCGGCATGACGTGCTGCGACACGTGAGGCTCGCCCTGCGCCCGCACAGCACACGCCACACCCCTGTTCCCACGCCTGGCGAGAAGTGTGATGCTCGCCGGTGAATTAGGTTTCCCGCCTCAAACAACAACGTGCTGGATGTCAACTGCGAGGCGATGCTTACGGGCTCGAATCGCCTTCAGCGCGGCCTGAACCACATGAATTATCTCACCCACCTCTACTCGGTGCGGAGGCGGTCGGCGCACGAGCGAGGACGAGGTGCAGCCGCAGGTCCGAGCCGACCTTACACGCCAAGGCACAGCCTCTTTGCGGGCGCGCACAGCGACTACGCGTTTTACCAAAGCAAAGCCTTTGTCGAATGGGCCTTCCCCGGTGAACTCGACTTACCGCACACCAAGGAGCAAGGGCCAAGAGTCGAGCTAAATAGATAAACGATCGTTAAATGGTAACGGACATACGAAGACGATATACCCGCAAGGTCCCACGAAGGAGAGGCCGCGCTGAGCCGTTTTCTCTGACGCGCAGTCTTGAGTCTAGTGCTCTAGTCGGGGCACGACCGCCGGCGCCGCGCTCCGGGCGGGACACCCCGCCCCGCGGGTCGGGGACGCGCGCGGGGACGCCGCCTCGAGACGACGCCGCGGCGGCCCCCACATCTCCCACGCCCAGGCGCGGCCTCGCGGCGCTTGATTAGGCTTGCTTGGCCCTCGCGCGCCTCGCCCCCGCTCGCACCACGCGCTACGCGCAGCACGCGCGGGCGCGCGCCCCCCTCTCCGCGCTCGCGGAGGCCGCGGAGCCCCGCGCAGCCCCGGCCCGCCCCCGGCG